GAGGGTAGAGGGGTAGCGTGGGACACACCAGACGGGGCAGGACCAGGGGGGGGAGGGGGTACCGGAGGAGCAGGAGCAGGAGGAGGAGAGGGTGCTAGAAAAAGGGGGGGAGGGGGTACCGGGAGACCTCGACAGGGGTACCGGGTGTAGTAGGACAAAGACTCGTCAAACCGGACGTCACGGGAGTCTAGGAACTGGTGGAGGGGCGGGTGGTAAAAGGACCAGTCGGCAGAGTCCACTGGGAAACCAAGGAAGACACAGGGGACGGCGCGTGCCGAGAGCTTGTCCGCTGAGGTGTCGCGAACAAGCGCAAGGCAGCCCCAGACTCGAAAGGCCGACCCAACACCAGGGGAACCAGTCCAAAGACTGGTCGGTGAAGCCTCGGGCCGCGAGACACACGGCTGGAGGTTCAGCTGGTGTGCGGCGTAGCGAACCACGTGGGGCCACAGAAAATGGGGCGCACGGGCATGGATCATGGACGTGCGGGCGATGTCCATGACCAGCCCTATGCGGCGCTCAGCAACCCCATTCTGCTGTGGGGACGCTGGCAGCGTCCAGGACTGTGTGATACCCTGTTCGCCGCAGAATCTGCCGAGAATGCCGGAGCGAAACTCGCCCCACGGTCGGAGTGGAGACTACTGACTCGACGACCACGAGTGCCCTCAATGGCTAGAAGCCACCTGATCAGCGTAGCAGTCACCTCGGACTTCTTCGCAAGAGGGAACACTGTGGTGTACCTGGAGAAGTCGTCGACGACCACCAGAAAGTAACGCTCCCTCCCAGACCCCTGCGTCGGGGCAGGGCCCCAGGCGTCCAAGTGGAGAGTCTCGAAGGGAGTGGTGGCCGGACGAAGGGAGGAGGAGTGGGGAGTGGCGCGTAAGTGACCGGCGACGCACGGAGAGCAAGGAGGGGCAAGCGAGGGAGGGAGCGACGGGAAGGTGCGTGGGAGACCTGTGACAAGTCCCTGACTGAGCATGCCACGAAGGTGAGGGATCGACGGGTGGCCAAGGCGGTGGTGCCAGAGGACGGTGCGGTGGGCTAGAGAACGACAGGAGCAAGACGCAGCGACTGGACTGGACACAGCGACCGGACCGGACACGACTACCTGGCTAGACACCGCAACTGGACTGGGGACCTGGGCCGGAGGGGACGCAACGACCTGAGGGGAGGACGCGACCTGGGAGCGCTCGGTGTGGAGAACGTAGAGACCGGAGCGGGGTTCCCTAGTGAACGTGGCCAGAACAGCACGTGTGGTAGCGTCTGTACAGACTGCAGTCCGCCCACCCCCCACGAAGGTAACCGTGATCCCCCTGTCCTGGAGGTATCCAACACCCACCAAGTTCCGAGTGAACGAGGGGATGTGGAGGCCGCGCAGGACACCAGAGGGGACCACAGGGCACGGGAGGGTGGTGGAGCTACGTGCAACGGCTGGTCCAGAGGTAGGATCAGCCAGAGCCACTGACACAGGAGTGAGGAGTGGCGTAAGGGTCGTGTGGTCGCGGAAGAAGCACTGAGACGCGCCCGAGTCCAGTGTGAACGACAGAGAGGCCTCAGCCGGAGGGTCACCTGACCCAGTCTCTACACAAGCACCTAGAGCAGCAACACAAGCACCTAAGCTAGGCAGGCACAAGGCTACACTAGCAGGAGGCAAGCAGGCTAAACTACGAACACGCGAGCACACAGATCCCTCAGCACTAAAGTCAGCATCAACATACAAAGCATGCTGACGCGCATCGTCCATGGACAAATCAAAGACATCAACCTTACGGGTTAACAGACGAGACCAGCGAGGCGTGACCGCCAGGGGGCCCCAACGAGCCCGGTAGAGGTCGTCGAGGCGGCGAAAGCACCGCGCGGCAGAGTGGTCGTCGCGACCACAGAGACAGGGGCTGCCCGGCCCGGTGAGGAACCAGTGGGTGCAGGGGCCAGCGTCACGGCGAGGGGGGCGAGGGGCCCAGCTGGAAGAGCTGCTGCTGCGGCCGGTGCTCCCAGGGCCTCCCGGACCCCACTGCGCGGGGGACCCCAGTGCTGCTGCGGACCCCACTGCAGCGGGGGCCCCCACTGCTGGAACTGCTGCGGTGCCTGCTGTTGCTGCTGTCCCTGCTGCTCCTGCTGTCCCTGCTGTGGCTGGTGCTGCTGTGGCTGCTGCTGCTGGGGGGCAGCACCCCCACCGGTCGGGCCACCACCTGTGGGTGGACCTGTCTATCTTGCGCCTCCTCCAAGGCCCCCTCCCCCTGGTGCACCACCGCCGCCGCCGCCGCCGCCGCCTCCACCACCACCGCCGCTCCCACCTCCATCGCCCCCTCCACCGCCACCTCCTCCGCCCCCACCTCCCCCCTTCCCGCCCTTCTTGCCACTCTTGCCCCGTTTCTGCCAGTCTGTGGCAAAAACGGCAGCGGTGTCCTCAGAGACCGACACAGCAGCAGAAGCGCGGGCAGCGGTGAAAGTGGGAAGCTGAGGGGCGGCACACCCCGCAAAGAGACGGGGGGCCACTGCATCAGTGGCGGAGGCAACGGTGAGGAGGCTGCTCTCGATGGTCCCGAGAGTAGTCTGAAGGAGGTCTATAGTGAGTTCAGTGGGGTGCTTCTGAAGAAGCGCGTCGCGGGCAGTGGCAAGGCGGTCAGGGAGGCGGGTGACTAACCAGTGCACAGTGAGCCATATGGGGGGGGGAGCAACAAGGAGCTGTGCGTCGGTACAGGCCGAACGAAAACCGGCGTCAAGCGAGCGGAGGTGAGTCACTAGGTCGGGAACAGTCGCAAACGAGCCTAGGTCGGGAAACACGAACGGCATGAGGAGGCGACTGAGGGAGGCGGAGGAGGGGGTGGAATAGCGAGCCACAATAGCATCCCAAACCCCCTTGGCTGTCTCCACCTGGTCAAAGTGAGCGACCTCAGTCGGGGGGAGAAGCTCCGATAGCGTGAGGGCGGCGGCCGCGTCACGAGAGAGCCACACGTCCCGAGCCAGGACCCGACGGTCGTAGTCCGCCTGGGCCGTAGGAGTCGGCTCCGGGGCGGTCGGCAGGGCGGCGGGGGACGGGGGTGCCGCGAGAGCACCCGACGCGTGGGCCCACAGAGTGGCGCCGTCCTGACGCTGGCTGGTGAGGAAACGTGTGGTCTGGCGCTCCAGGTACCGAACTCGATCGGGCGTCCCTCAGCATCGAAACGGAGGCGACGGGCCTCCATAGCGGAGCCCATGCTAGAGGCGACTGGAGCACGGCGGAGGCGGAGCTAAGAACGAGGAGGAAAACTACGGAGGGCTAGGGACGCCAGCGGGGAAACCGACGAGAGACAGTCGGCGAGAAAATAGTCGTGGGGCGGGGCTCTAACCGAACCTAGGTGGCGCTACCGGAGGGAAGAGCGGCTGCCAGCCGCTGAGCCGGGAGCCAAGTGCAGTATGAATGGTGTGGGACCGGTGCACAGGTGAAGGGAAGAGAGATGCAGTAAGCGCACAGAGTGATGCGGTAAGTGTACGCAAGTGTGCGGTAAGCGCACGCAGGTGTGCGGTAAGTGTACGCAGGTGTGCGGTAAGCGCACGCAGGTGTGCGGGAAGCGCACGCAGGTGTGCGGGAAGCGCACACAGAGTGATGCGGTAAGTGCACGCAGGTGTGCAGTAAGTGCACGCAGGTGTGTGGTAAGTGCACGCAGGTGTGCGGTAAGCGCACGCTGGTGTGCGGGAAGCGTTGACGGAGGAGGGAGCGCGACAGGCGGAGGGAGGGCACGCGACGGTCTAAGGAAGGCGCGCGACGGTTGAGGAGGGCGCGCGACGGTTGAGGAGGGCGCGCGACGGTTGAGGAGGGCGCGCGGCGGTCTAAGGAGGGCGCACGACGGTTTTGGAGGGCGCGCGGAGGTCTAAGGAGGGCGCGCGACAGGCTGGACAGCGCGGGAGGGCGCGGGCTAGGCGCGAGGAGGGTGCGGAGGGCGCGGAGGGCGCGAGAGCACGGAGGGCGCGTAGGGCGCGGAGGCTAGCTAAAAACGAACGAGGATCTAACCTACTCGTGATACCATCTCAGAATAGGAATGCAACGGAATGACCGAAACTAGAAAGTGTGAGAGTACAAATATGCAACCCTAACAACTGTACTCCCTATTGTGCTACTCACTGTAGCCTACAAGCATAGAATTACATTTGACATATGGATAGTGGTTCCTCTTCAAGATGGTGTAGCTAGCCAAGCCACAGTTGATAGCCACAGCTACACTCAGTAACGTTTCTGCTTTCAATGTTCATAACAATACAGTAGTTCGTAACATTCTTATCAACTACCTTCAACTCCACTTCATGCACCCCAAATATTGTAACACTGTAGATGAATTGAACAGCCAGCCATCCCCTTACCCTTCATCAGTAGCTCAGCTCAGCTAAGCAGCAGAAACCAGGCAGCTCTACCGGTGGCTTTTGCATAAGGCATTGTACCGTACTCTACAGGTGTACATCCAATGTAACTAAGGTACAACCGCACACAGTATTGGGACAGAGAGCAGCTGAGGACGCGTCCCCTCCCTCGATCGAGCCTGCGCAGGATCGATTTCTGGCGGGGTTGGAAAAGGTTCTGCTAGTTGTGAAATGCATCAACCGGGGTTTTAGTGCGGGACGCGTCCTGAGTCTCACAGCCAGCTCACCCCAGCCAGCAATCCTGCTTGGGCCTTTTAAGGCATGATCCACAGGGGACTGGAGGCAGATTGATACTACTAGGTACAGCATCGCCATTCAAATAGGTACAATCAAATTGTGCAACAGAAACAGAAAAAATGTCTAATCAAATTGTGATTCAGGGAAATCGGTTGGAGGATGCGTTATGCTACAGAGAAATGGGCTGAAGTTTCCTGCTCATATGAGCTTTGTTTTGGACAGAAATCTGGATAACTTGCTTGATAAAAACATACAAAAATATTCAAAAGACAAAAATGTTACAACATGGGATGATACAAACGTAATCTACAGACAATCACAAGCAACATGGCAATAAAGCATCTAACAGAAACGGAAGGGGTCCTCGTAGCTCACTTCTTTCCGCCCTTGCCACCCTTTCCGCCCTTTCCTCCCTTGCCTCCCTTGCCGCCCTTCCCTCCCTTCCCTCCCTTGCCACCCTTGCCACCTGTTGTATTGATCGCACTGTCTCTCACACTCTGAGTGGTAGCGAAGCTCGAGCTGCCTGCTCCACCCTGTCCGCCCTGCTGCGGCGGTCCGCCCTGTCCGCCCTGCTGCCCGCTCTGCTGCGGGGGTCCGCCAGATCCGCCCTGCTGTCCGCCCTGCTGTCCGCCCTGCTGTCCGCCCTGCTGTCCGCCCTGCTGTCCGCCCTGCTGTCCGCCCTGCTGTCCGCTCTGCTGTCCGCCAGTAAAGCCCTGCGGCGGTCCCTGCTGGCCGCCCTGCTGGCCGCCCTGCTGTCCGCCAAATCCGCTCTGCTGGCCGCCCTGCTGTCCGCCAAATCCGCTCTGCTGTCCGCCCTGCTGTCCGCCCTGCTGCGGCGGTCCGCCAGGTCCGCCCTGCTGTCCGCCCTGCTGCGGCGGTCCGCCAGATCCGCCCTGCTGTCCGCCCTGCTGTCCGCTCTGCTGTCCGCCAGTAAAGCCCTGCGGCGGTCCCTGCTGGCCGCCCTGCTGGCCGCCCTGCTGTCCGCCAAATCCGCTCTGCTGGCCGCCCTGCTGTCCGCCAAATCCGCTCTGCTGTCCGCCCTGCTGTCCGCCAAATCCGCTCTGCTGTCCGCCCTGCTGTCCGCCCTGCTGCGGCGGTCCGCCAGGTCCGCCCTGCTGTCCGCCCTGCTGCGGCGGTCCGCCAGATCCGCCCTGCTGTCCGCCCTGCTGTCCGCTCTGCTGTCCGCCAGTAAAGCCCTGCGGCGGTCCCTGCTGGCCGCCCTGCTGGCCGCCCTGCTGTCCGCCAAATCCGCTCTGCTGTCCGCCCTGCTGTCCGCCAAATCCGCTCTGCTGTCCGCCCTGCTGTCCGCCCTGCTGTGGCGGTCCGCCAGGTCCGCCCTGCTGTCCGCCCTGCTGCGGCGGTCCGCCAGATCCGCCCTGCTGTCCGCCCTGCTGTCCGCTCTGCTGTCCGCCAGTAAGGCCCTGCGGCGGTCCCTGCTGGCCGCCCTGCTGGCCGCCCTGCTGGCCGCCCTGCTGGCCGCCCTGCTGTCCGCCAAATCCGCTCTGCTGTCCGCCCTGCTGTCCGCCCTGCTGTCCGCCCTGCTGCGGCGGTCCGCCAGGTCCGCCCTGCTGTCCGCCCTGCTGCGGCGGTCCGCCAGATCCGCCCTGCTGTCCGCTCTGCTGTCCGCCCTGCTGCGGTGGTCCGCCACGTCCGCCTTGCTGTCCGCCCTGCTCTCCGCCCTGCTGACCTCCCTGCGGCGGTCCGCCCTGTCCGCCCTGCCGGCCGCCCTGCTGTCCGCCGTGTCCGCCCTGCTCTCCGCCAGGTCCGCCCTGCTCTCCGCCAGGTCCGCCCTGCTCTCCGCCAAGTCCGCCCTGCTCTCCGCCGGGTCCGCCCTGCTCTCCGCCATTGCCGCCGCCCAGGTCTCCGCCACTTCCGCCGCCCAGGTCTCCGCCACTTCCGCCGCCCAGGTCTCCGCCACTTCCGCCGCCCAGGTCTCCGCCACTTCCGCCGCCCAGGTCTCCGCCACTTCCGCCGCCCAGGTCTCCGCCACTTCCGCCGCCCAGGTCTCCGCCACTTCCGCCGCCCAGGTCTCCGCCACTTCCGCCGCCCAGGTCTCCGCCACTTCCGCCGCCCAGGTCTCCGCCACTGCCGCCGCCCAGGTCTCCGCCACTGCCGCCGCCCAGGTCTCCGCCACTGCCGCCGCCCAAATCTCCGCCAATGCCGCCGCCCAAATCTCCGCCACTGCCGCCGCCCAAATCTCCGCCACTGCCGCCGCCCAAATCAACTTCATTGCCGTCGCCCAAATCAACAGTTATCAAAACTGGTCTGGTTGCTGTTGCCTTCAGAAGTGATTGTGCTTTAAGAACAAGGCTGCGGCGCGGAGCGAGGGACCTCGCGGATCCTGCGCCGATGGACAAGACACGTGATATAATATCGTAAATGCCGATTTATATAGAATGCACGATAAGGGCGCAAGTTAATTGATGGAATTGAAATAATAAATTGGCATTATAGAGAATGGAGGTGAACCGTATTGGAAATGGCTGTGATTAGAGGAAAGAAAAGTGGGCAACAAAGTGGGACACTCACCCGGCGTTACAAACGCCGACGCCGCTAAAAGCGCGAGCAGCAGAAGAGCCAACGCTGTGACTCGCATTTTGCAGGCCATCGTGCAGGAACGACTCTCTCCGCTCGGAGTCCGAGCACTTGCTACGCGGGGACGAGCTAGAAAACAGTGGAAATGTGCGAGCAGCAAGAGCTCGATTTGCGAGAAAGCTCGAGTGAGAGTACTGAGGAGGATGCTGATGTGAGTGACGGATACTAATGTGGTGTGGTGGTGGGGAGGGGACGCGGCTTGAAAGCGTTTTCGCCTTGGGGGTGTGAAAGGATGCGATGCGATTAGTTTTGGCGGGATATCTATTTCCCGCCAGGTCAAATCCGCGACTTGCGCCTCTATCTCAGGTTTCGTAGGCGCATTTCAGGACAGGGAGATTCAACAATGTTCCTTTCGTGTTACAATCCCAACCTGCGAAGCCAAAATGACTCACAAATGAGCTTCCGACTGATCCGCTGTGCTGCTTGGTCACGCCAAGGGGCTCCATAGAACCTGCGCTATCGTTGAAGCCCGTTGACCGCCTCACTCGTTGGAATCTGGGCCGGGAAAGCGGTTGACGCGGCAGGCCCGCGAAATGCGCAAGTGCCACAGCATGCGCAGAACGTGAAACGCGTATAACAAATCTATGTATTGTACACTCTTAGTGTATCTTTCATCAATGAAAAAACAAAAACCAAATTAATTAACCTGCACTTAAAAGAATGGAATCAACTGACCTGAAGCTCTTAACACCTCGAATGATGAAGAATTTACATTTTTTTTTTATTGGACAATGTCGTCTTTATGAAGAGTAACAGTTAAAACCTACTATGCTCAGATGAGTTGCAACGAACCTCCAGTTGTTACGCAAAACCTGCGATCTCGGTTATGGAAAGCGACAGATGAGGCAGCCCGAGAAACACGCAACAGCACACCAACGAATCACATATGATGAGACTTTCCAAGTGCATAATACATTTCAAAAAACCTGCACCTCCTCAATGTATATCACCGGTGTATCTGTTTTATTTGAAAAATGTGAACTTGCTGAAGCAGATGTCATGCTTAGCAAGGTGTCAGTGTAGCACAGTTAGGCTAGGAATATGCAAAGCAAAAATGATGTTCTCACCGCAAACATCAAGCAAGCACGAAATCTAAACATGGAAGATCTTCACCACTTCTCGAATGGGAGCTCGGCAGACAGGGCAACCCCAGCCCTTAGACCTAACCTCAGCTAGACACTCCACACACCCCGCCACGTGCCCGCAAGGCACACACACTGCCTGCGCTGCTGAATCCCAGCAAATCACGCACTGACCCTCTCTAGATGCCTCTCCTGCTGCCCCTCCCGTTGCTGCTTCTCCTGCTCCCGCCCCTGCCTCTGCCCCTGCCTCGTCTCCTGCTCCTGCTCCTGCTCCTGCGCCTGTCGATGTACCTGCTGCCCTTCCTCCTGCTGCCCTTCCTCCTGCTGCCCTTCCTCCTGCCGCTCCGTGCCCTTGGCTCTGTGCCCTGGCGAGCTCTGCCCGCACCCTCTCAGGGTTGTAGCTTGGATGTAGCTCCGCTACAGATGCTGCTCCTGGCGAAGGAAGACCAGCAAACGAGCCGCCTACAGACGAGAAAGACGCACCAGGAATAGCTACCGACGCTGCAGCAGCAGGGGATGGGACGCTGGCAGGTGTATGGGGATGGGAGTTGGGTGGTTGCACCTGAGGGTTCATGGAAACAGGTGGGTGCTGATGGGTGATAGGTGGTTGAACGTGGTGGGTGATGATAGGTGGTTGAGCCTGAGGGTGGATGGGAGGGTGTGGGTTTCGCCTGGGGCTGCTGGGAGGGGAGAACTGGATGAGAGGAGGGTCGAAGAAGGAAGCACGGTGGCCCGTGGTTCGCTGCCATGCCGTCGCGGCTACAGCGGCTGTTGCTGACGTGAGAGCCCCTGCTGCTGTTGCAATTGCCTCAGCAGCCACTGCTGCTCTAGCATTGAAAGCTGGAGCTGCTCCTGCTGGTGCTGGTGATACTGATGCTGCTGCTGGTGCTGCTGCTGCTGCTGAAGCTGGCTGGCCTGTCACGGCTGCTCCTGGCACTCTCCCTGCTCCCACTGATGCTCCTGATGTGGAAGCAGGACCATCCGCAGGAGGTGCTGACGGTGGGCCGGAAGCAAAGAGCGATGACACGGCTGCTGCTGCTCGGTTGAACGCCGGTGCCACAGAGGAGAACTGATTCGCAATTTCGTCGCGCATTCTACCCCCTTCCACGCCTGCTGCAACAGCAGTGCCAGCAGTGCCAGCTGTACCTGCAGAACCAGCCGCAGAGCCAGCTGCAGGACCAGCGGCAACGCCAAAGGAAGTGCCGGCAGCAGCAGAGGAAGAGGGGATAGGGGCAGCAGGTGGGGCAAAGGGGTGGCGATCAGCAGAGGCTGAAACGGACCTGGAGGAGCGATGAGAAGAAGTGGATGCACCAGAGGCAGCAGCACCAACACCAGCAGCGGAAGAGGAAGATGAGGAGAGGGAGCGTCCGGATCTGGACTGAGGCTCGGAGGAGGAGCGGGTGAGAATAAACCCGTCTGCTCCTCCCTCCCCTCTGCTCATTCCCTGAGCAGCCGCAGCGGCGGCACTAGAAGCACTAGAAGCACCAGGAGCGTTGGCTCGGGAAGAACCAGCGGTGCTGGCAGTGTGCATCGACTCAGTCAGTGCCAGCTGGAACGCCGTGTCCTCGTCCACGTCATCCTGCCACGCGTGCACGTTCACCACGCCCCTGGATTCAGATGATGCTGATGTCATCCCTCCTGCTCCTGCTGCTGCTCCAGAACACCCTCCCTGCTGCTGCTGCTGCTGCTGCTGCTGCTGCTGCTGCTGCTGCCATGCCTGCTGCTGCTGCTGCTGATACTGCTGCCATGCGTGCTGCTGCTGTTGTGCCTGCTGCTGTGTGTAATAGGCCGCAGCATAAGCATCATAAGCAGCAGCAGCAGCAGCAGCAGGAGCAGGAGGAGCAGCAAAAGGGGAAACAGGAGGAGCGGCGGGAGGTTGGGGGTACATGGTGGGGTGCATCTGTGGTGGGGGGGGATGGTCAATGGAGGAGGGGGCAGTGTGAGAGCGAGACGCTGGGAGCTGGGTTTCCGGTGATGGTGCATGTGATTGTGGGGTGTGGGGAGAGGATGCCACATGCTGAGGTGGCGGATGCTGATTGGCTGACTGGGTGCGAGCCTGCATGGGGTAGGTAGAGATGGGAGGGTGCGAGAATGGGAGGGATTGAGGCTTGAGAATGTGGTTTGGAAACGTCGGTGTGAGGGATTAGGTGAAAGTTTTTTTTGAGACGCCTCAAAACTTGAGAATGTGGTTCGGAAACGTCGATGTGAGGGATTAGGTGAAAGGGCATGCTAATGTGCATGTGTGTGTGGGAAGAGGGAAAGGAGAGAGAAGGTTTTTTTAGGCGCCTCAAAAATCGTCTCTTGTTAACGTCGATGTGAGGGATTAGGTGAAAGGGCACGCCAACGTGCATGTGTGTGTGGGAAGAGGGAAAGGGGAGAGAAGGTTGGGAGGGCAGGGGAGAGAAGGGTGAGAAAGGAGAGAAGAATGAGAGAGCAGAGAAATGAGAGGAGATGGAGGGATGGGAAGAGGAGTGAGAAGAAAGAGAGGAGAGAGAGGCAAGAGGGAGTGAGGGTGGAGAGAGGAGGGAGGGGAGAGAGGATGCGAGCAGAGAGAGGAGAGAGGAGATAGAGGATGCGAGCAGAGAGAGTAGGGAGGGGAGAGAGGGAAGCAAGAAGTCACCCATGCCATTCCCCGTAATGCAGGCGGAATATCTGAGAAGGGAGAGGAGAAGTGAGAAGAGTGGAGACGAGGGAAGAGTGAGAAAGGAGGGAATTGTGAGAGGGAGGGAAGAGTGTGAGGGAATAAGAAAAATACCCGTGGTGTTCCAAGGCAGGCGTCGTGCAGGCGGAATATCTGCGAGGGGTCGGGTGAATCCTTGTCGCTCACAAACTTCCACTTGCCCTTCTCCGCTGCCATAGAGGCCATGGGGGGATGCATGGGGGGATGCATGGGGGGATGCATGCAGGGATGCAAGCGGGCATGCACACACACATGGAGGGGTCGGGTGAGTCCTTGTCACTCACAAACTTCCACTTGCCCTTCTCCGCTGGTGTGGACAGATGCATGCACACATGCATCCAGGCATGCAGTCACACACATTTAAACATGCAGTCACACGCACATGCATAAATAAACAATACACACACACACATGCGGACATGTGGGGTTGGACACATGCGTGCATGTACATGCATGCACACGTGCGTGAACATGCAGGCAGATGGGCACAGCAATGCGCACATGAGATGTGATGCACATCAACGTGTATGATGGAGAGACATAGGCATAGAGTGCAACAAACACAACACACATCACACAACTTTTGAGGCGCCTCAAAAGAGAGCAGAGATAAGCCGAGTTATGAAACGTCTCAAAACTTAAAGCCATTAGCAACACAGCAATGCAACTAAGTTCACAAATAAGCCACACTGAGAGAAAGAGGAATCGCATAGGGTGTTGGGAAAGAGTAGCATGAGAGAAGGAGGTGCCATACCATGAACGGGGTCCTCTATAACGAGTACAGGGTTGGCAGAGTCCAGCTTGGTCATGTGAATGCGGCACACATGCAGAGCTATGTCGAAATAGGGTGCGCCAAACTGTAGGGGTCATGGAGAAAGGGAGGGGGCGAGGGATGGGCTCTTCAGGAGGCGCTTCAGATGCGCGTGCAGCCCAGCTTGGTCATGTGAATGCGGCACACATGCAGCGCTATGTCGAAATAGGGTGCTCCAAACTGCAGTGGGTTGTGAAGGGGGAGGAGGGGGGTCGACGGGAGGGAGTGAAAGACTGGTGGAGAGAGGGGCATAGGGGAGTCCAGATTGGTCATGTGAATGCGGCACACATGCAGTGCTATGTCGAATTAGGGCGCCCCAAACTGCAGTGGGCCATGGAGAAAGGGGGGGGCGGGGGGTGGGCTCTTCAGGAGGTGCTTCAAATGTGCGTGTAGTCCAGATTGGTCATGTGAATGCGGCACACATGCAGTGCTATGCCTAGGGCACACCAAACTGCAGCAGGTCGTGAAGGGAAGGAAGAGAAGAGCAGGGGACGAGGGGGAAAGGGGGCTCTTTCTGAGGGGAAAACGCACGTGCAGTGATGTTTCGAAATAGCGCGCGCCAAACTGCAGCAGACAGGAGAGGAGAAGAGGAGGGGCCACACAGGCACGCGCAGGGCTATGCCAAAATAGGGCGCGCGAAACTGTAGCAGGTCATGCACTCACACCCATGCACTCACACCCATGCACGCGGGCACTCACAGCCATGGAGGGATAGAGAGCGAGGCGGAATGCCATGCGGGCATGCACTCACAGCCATGCATGCATGCGGGCACTCACAGCCATGGATGGATAGAGAGCGAGGCGGAATGCCATGCGGGCATGCACTCACAGCCATGCATGCATGCACACACTCACAGCCATGCATGCATGCACACACTCACAGCCATGGAGGGATAGAGAGCGAGGCGGAATGTCTGGCGTCCATCACTCATGGTGGGCCCAGGTAGCACTGCCACCCAGCTGCAGAGGCATGGGCGGAGAGCGGTGGAGAAACGTGGAGAGGGGTGCGTGGAGAGTGAGGTGAGGTGATAGCAGAGGCAGAGGAGTGCGGAAAAATAGTGGCGTGGGTAGTGGAAAAGCAAATCTGCCTTCTCCTCACACTCCCCTACACACCCATTGAAAGCAGTAGCCAAGGCAACTAAAAATCTCCTGAACACCTATCGAGAGCAGCAATGAGTACGTACGACTCACACTCTCCAGTGCCCCATCCACTCCCTCCCTCCCTCCTGTGCCCCCATTGAAAGCAGGACCGCATGCAACTCACATTCTCCGGTACACCCATTGCGGGATAAAGGCTTTCACTAGCGACGGCGCTGAGAGGGTCTGCTGGCGCACATAGCCCTCGAACAACGCCACCCGGCTCTGATGGACGGGGAGGGGAGGGGGTGTGTGTGGGTAGCTAGCCAGGAGTAGAGCCTCAATGGCGCTGAGAGGGTCTGCTGGCGCACATAGCCCTCGAACAGTGCCACCCGGCTATGATGGGCCCAAGATGAGAGCACGGTTGGGAGAAGGGGGAGGAGGTGGGGGGAAAGGAGAAGAGAGGAAGAAAGTGGGGAGAGACATTTCAACAGCTGACAACAGCGTTGACAGGGTCTGCTGGCACACATAGCATACCCTGTAGTGTTATAGACTTTTGAGACGTCTCAAAAGTCACATAGCATACCCTGTAGTGTTATAGACTTTTGAGACGTCTCAAAAGTCACATAGCATACCCTGTAGTGTTATAGACTTTTGAGACGTCTCAAAAGTCACATAGCATACCCTGTAGTGTTATAGCCGTAGACCTCAGACAAGGCCAGGAGGTAGGCGGTGATGGGGCAAGGCAAGACAAGCTAGTGAGAGCTGGGAGGGGGGCAACAGGAGGGGGAAGGGTGGTAAGGAGGGAGGAAATAACAGGAGCAGAGCGTTAACGGTGCTGAGAGGGTCTGCTGGTGCAACTCGTGAGTGCCCAAGTCAGCATGTCATAGTGCTGAGAGGGATTGCTGGTGCAAGCAGCCCTTCCCTCCACACGTCCCTCCCACCTTCTCAGTGTTTGCCCCAGTAAATTGTATAGACACACTCGCCCTTGCCAGCACGGGGATGTAGCTCAGATGGTAGAGCGCTCGCTTAGCATGCGAGAGGTATGGGGATCGATACCCCACTTCTCCAGAACAGGTTTATATCTACTTCCTCATCCTTGGGGTGCAAGGTGTTCTTCTCTACACCTCACTCCCAACCCCCATACTCTCTCTCCTTCTCACACGCCCACACACACATGCGACCCCCCCTCCTTCCCAACGACCCTCACCTCTATGAGTCGGACAACAGCAGTGGCGTTTCTCTCTCTCGCCAGGTCCAGCGCGGTCCTTCCATCGTCGTTGGGAAGAAGGGGGTCCGCTGCAATAGGGACAAGCAGGGGGGGAACGAAAGGAAATGGGAAAAAAAAAAGAGGAAGAGTTGGGGAAATTTTTCTCATGGCAAAAGCAGCTTAACTGTGGCATATCGATCGTAATGTATCGTGGTGACAAACACATGGTTACCAGCTCACCTCCATGGTCCAGCAGCAGCTTCACTATGGCATTGGTCATAAGATAACCGTTTACACACGCATGGTTACTGTACGCATGGTTACCACATGGTTACCAGCTCACCTCCATGGTCCAGCAGCAGCTTCACCGTGGCATCGCGTTTACGCACACATGGTTACTGAGCAGAGCCCATGGTTACCACATGGTTACCAGCAGCAGCGCAGCTTCACCGTGGCATCGGTCATAAGATGTCGCGCTTACTTACACACGCATGGTTGCTGCATGCGTGGTTGCTGCATGCATGGTTACCACATGGTTACCAGCTCACCTCCATGGTCCAGCAGCAGCTTCACTGTGGCATCGGTCATAAGATCTCGCGCTTACTTACACACGCATTGTTGCTGCATGCGTGGTTACCACGTGGTTACCACATGGTTACCAGCTCACCTCCGTGGTTCAGCAGCAGCTTCACCGTGGAATCAAGCTGCTTGCCAGCGGCATAGTGAATGGGCGTGCCCCCTCCTGGACCTTTAAGCCCACTTAAACGTCACCTGGTTATCACATGGTTACCACACGGTTACAGCTCACCTCCGTGGTCCAGCAGCAGCTTCACCGTGGCATCGAGCTGCTTGCGAGCGGCGTAGTGAATAGCCGTGCCCCCTCCTGGACCTGCAGGGATGGGGAGAGGCGTGAAAGAGAGGAAAGGAGAGGAGAGGTATGGCATAAAAAATGGCCGTCCTGTAACATAATGAGTGGCTATACTGCTCTGGCAGAGTGAATAGACGTCCCCCCTCCTGAACCTGCAGGGACGGGGAGAGGGGATGTGGATGAGAGATGTGAATCATGATTGTCGTCAGTGGCACGGAAGAAAGTGGTATCAGGTGGCTGGGATGAATGGAGATCAAAGATGAGGAGAAGGTGGGGCGCGGGGACACAACCACCCACAGTGGTTGAATGAAACTGAGGATGTACAGAGAAACTCTGGTGATAGGATGTACACTTGAGGATTGAGTCGCAACAGCAAGCCGGCAAGCCCACGCCCACCTTTAGAGTAGGCGCGAACAAGAGCGCCCAACTGCAGCAGAAGTTTCGCTGCCTCATACCCCTCTGCCCGGCTGCTGGCGAGAATGACTTTTGGGGCGCCTCAAAAGACAGCAAGCCCACCTTTGGAGTAGGCGCGAACAAGAGCGCCCAACTGCAGCAGAAGTTTCGCCGCCTCATACCCCTCTGCCCGGCTACTGGCAAGAATCAACGGCGTGCGACCCTTCGAATCCACGCACTGTGTGGGTGGATGTTTCGGGACGAGGGAGGAGACAGGCATAAAGTATTTGAGTTACCGACAAACTATCGATGCGTGCGTGCCCAATCAAGGGCGTGCGACCCTTGGAGTCCACACCACACACTGGGTGGGGTGGATGAGGATGAGGGGGATGATTGGGACGACAAGCGCAAAGCATTTGACTCGCCAAGCTGCAGCAGCAGCAGCAGCTTCGCTGGCTCATATCCCTCTGCGCTGGTGTTGGCTAGAATCAAAGGCGTGCAACCTTTTCAATCCACGCACTGGGTAGGGGGACAAGGGGGGGGTACTGTGTAACGCACGCCAGAAGGAGCTGGAAACTTGGATGCTAGCTTCAAACAAGCGTCACATTGGCGTGAACAAGCATCAGCGAGTTTAAGAGACATGGATAACAACCTCGAACAGAGCGATGCAAGTAAATTCTTTATGAGTGCTTCGCATTAATAACTCATAAAGACAATAGTGAATAGAATAAGTAAATCTCACATTGACGCTTATTCCACGTGAAACCAGCTCTCGGATGCCTGACGTGTCGCCGTGCTTCGCGGCGTGACGTATCAGCTCCTCTCTCGATCCACTCTGACCCATACTCCACGCAAATTGAAGACTAGCAGGCTACCCCTTTCTCTGATACACTGTTTGACGATATAACTTTCTTTGACACAGAAATAACTCAAGCTACAGATACGAGAGACCAGCGTTTTAATCTACGCGAAGCTTAGGAGCCAGCGCAGCTTGAAAGCAGAAAAGGCATTCGAGCTGATCACGTCGCGTCAACGAACCGTGGACGGAATGAATGTGATGATGGAGATTGAGATGGCCACGGAACACGCGAATTCGCGAAAACGTGGAATCGACTTCAGAGCTATTTTTACCAGCACGGCCGCGAGCGAATGTGGGTAAGGATTGCGAAGAGGAAGGACGTGGCGGACTAAAATAAGCTATTTACGAGCCATCAGAATCTGCGCTTCAGTCCCTGTACAGAATGAGGACTCACCCAAAATTGTGGGCAAGCTGACTATTTCTAGGAAGCATCTCCCAATGCAGTTACTTGTGGTTGGCGTGTGGTTGCGAAACGCGGTAACTTGTGTGCTTTCCCCATGCGACCCTTTTTGTCAACACGAAGGCCTATTGCTGTGTAAAACTCAGACTTCTCCATCTGTTCACGCAGTGGAAAGTGCTAGGGATGGTTTCAATGCGGTCTGGTAAGCATTTTATACGATGCAGAGTGTTCACATTCAGGTACTTGTTGAGCATGACGCGTCGTGTGTGTGAACCCTAGGCGGTGTTCGGCTGCCACAGGGGATCGACCGAGGGATGGGGGGGGGATCAGATTTGCAGCTAGGGTTTCTAGTTCGGGGTGGTCAGCTCGGAGTCAACCGTCGTTGACTCCAAGTCTGGAGTCCAGGCGGAAGCGGAAAGTTTGGGGGAAAAGGCGCGGAGGAGCGACTCGGGAAATGGGGGCCCACGAAACTGCAGCCGCGCGAAACGAAACTTCGCGAGCTGAACAGTTTTCCTGAATTTACTGTTGCGATTTGTTTGGGTAGCTTACTCTACTTGAATTCTGTACACCATAAATTAATTCAAGGGTGTAAAGGACGATTCGACCTTAGTTAATTTTGGCGAGTTCATTTCGGATCTTTGTGTACAGAATTATACTTTCAATGTCCGGGTTATTTGTTTTTTAGAGTGTGGAGTAAATGTATACACGAAAATTGTGGAAGGGGGCATGGATTTTTCATTCCCCGTGGGCTGAGACCACCCACGGGAATGCACTTTCCATGCCCTGAACACTAGGGCGGAGTTTTTCCGCCACGGGGGGGAATTGGGGGGAGGACGCGGCGCGGGTTCAAGCCTAGCGCGGGGTTCGCGTCGCGTTTTAGGCTCACGTCCGACACTTTTTTCACAATTTTCATGTCTGACCGAAGTGTTCTGCCTGGTTCGAACAGATCGAACCAGGAGGCTCGGCGTTCTGATGCTCCATCCCATCCCCTCCCCCCATCCCCTGTGGCAGCCGAACTTTGCCCTAGTGTCACGAAACCCTGGAGACCCCAGCAAAAAATACAGTACGGCAAAAGAAAACGTCTCAGATGAACAAAGCTTGGGTTGTGTTCTCACAGCAGATACTGTACCACGAGTTCGGAAGGAATGTTGAGCTGGACGTTCATGGGGTCATGATAGGCCTCATTTCACACGCAACTGTAGTCCTACACGTGGCTCTCAAAATGGGTCAGTCTCTATCGTTGCAAAAAACCGTGTTTTTTTTTTTTTTTTTTTTTTTTTTTTTTTTTTTTTAACGGGGTTCAGATCGTGTCTGTAGGGGTCCAGAAAGATATATCAGGGCTGCAGTCTGGTGAGGAGTCTAAGCTACGCACCTCGAGATTACGACGAATTGGTTGGTTGTACTTTTTCGAGAGCCGAAATCAGTGACCCTCGTGATTGGCTTCAAACGGAGTTGGAGTCGTTTCTGAAAGTTGTGAGAAGATAACCATGGATTTGGTCCGGTGAAAGAATGATGCAAATTTCTCAACTGTGGATGAACCTGCTATCACAACAGAAGCAAAGCAAACCACTCGTTGCACTTGGCTTCACAACCACAACCGCATCTTCCGCGGCGCGCACTTTCACAACAGCAGGTAATTCCATGCTGTGAATTGAACGGGTGAGCGCTTTGCGCGCAAGAAGGCACACCTCGTGCTGCCGCGAGAGTCACCATGGTTCACCTAGGCCTAGAGTCGCCGAGCCATAATCGTCAATTACCTCACCAAGCCGCAGCGCTCCTGAAAGCGATCCCATTTGTCCACTATGCCGTCCTCGTACTTACCGCCTCCGCGATCTTCGCGTTCTGGGTCGCGTTTCCACCAAACGCGACTTATCTGCCCTCCGATTGCAACCACGCTGCTGATATACCCCTCGAACGGTCTGAAGAAACTTCGCGAGACTGCCCACGTTGCGACGAGCGGAATGATCGTACCCCGTTGGATGAACTTGCGCCGTTGGATCGGCCGTTAACTGCCCGCGGCGCGAAGATTCGGATGTGCATGGGGAGCCCGTCAGTGCCGTTCGCGCAGGGAACGTTCGTAACGAAGCCTATGAAGCATGGGAAAGCGTTTCACAACCGGTTCGCGCAGCTCACTGTGTTTGAAGCGGAGGTTCGGCACGAACCGGAGCTTTGGGCCGAAGCAGAGGCTCGGCGCGAGGCTGCTGGGGGAACGACAGGCGGAGAGAGCAGCGTAAAGGCCGCAGGAGAAGGGGGAACGGCTGGAGGATCGGGCGGAGACGGCGGAAATGGGGGCCAGCAAGGTAGACAGCAAGGGGAGCCGAAAGGGGGACAGCAGCAAGGGGGGCAGGCGCAAGGGGACCAGCAGCAAGTGGGGCAGAACCAAGGGGTCCCCGGGCGTGCAGAACCGACGAAAACGACTCTGCGGCTGCTGTCGTTTCTGGAGGATGACGATTCGATTCGCAAGTCGCAGTGGCAGGGGTGGGGCGAGGCGGAATACAGCGACCTCTTCACTCCGAGCGTGTTTAAGGTGCAGTGCCACGTGTGGCCCACGCACGACGCTTATATGCAGACGCTCGAGCCTGCTTATATCGTGGACGCGGTCGCCAATAACAGCTATCTTTGGCATAACATTATCGAGTGCCCACTGCCACCATACACCAAGCTTATGACTGGTAATGAGACCGTTTCAAGTGAACCAGCCAGCTCCGCTGCTCCTCTCTCTGATCCGTCTGCGGCTCCTGCGTCTGTGACCGGTCGAGAGCGGTTGGGAACGGCGGACGGGAGAAAGTGGGCGGTGCATCACTGGCAGCAGGTGCAGGTGCAGCTGGTGGCAGCAGAGGATGGGGCAGACCTACGCATGCCCCCGCTGCTGCTGTGCCGCGCCGACAATGACAAACACACCCTTGCATCCTCCCCGCTCTCCCTCTCCCTCACGTCCTCTCATCACACTGCTGCTGCTGCTGCTTCTGCTGTTGCGGCCCAGCCCTTCCCTGTCTCTTTCCCTCCGCCGTTTCCGTTTGCAGCAAAGGAAAAGGAATTGGCTGCTCTGGCTGTCGCCGGGGCCGCTGCTGAGGCTGCTACTGCTGCTGCTGCGAAGGGTGCAAAGGGTCGCTCTGGCGGTTCGGCAGGCTCAAAGGCCGCTGTAGGCTTGGGAAGTGGTTCGGAGCTGGTTCGGTTTTTGGCCGAGGCGGAGCAAGGGGCGAACAGCACAGATAAAGCCTCTGGTGGGAAAATGCTTAGTTCCAAGGACCTGCTTGGGAACTATGAGGATGCAGCTACAAACGAGGATGAGAAAAACAGCAGCAGCAGCAGGAGTGCGGGCATGGGAGCAGTGAGCATCTGCCTGCGCCCCGTGCACAAGCGCCAAATGTTCTCCGATAATATCGCCGTATCCGACGTGCGCTTACTCGAGTGGATCGATGCGTGTCTGCTGATGGGAGTGGATCGCATCTATGTGTACGACCGCTACTCCACGCACATACGCGCGCTGCTGTGGGAGTATATTGCCCGAGGGCAGGTGGTGCACGTGCCGTTCCCCAATTGGAGCGAGGTGTTCTTTAGGCAAGCGCAGTACGACGGCAAGGCCAAGAAGCCCTACGCGGTGAGTGCGGCCTTCCTTGGCTTGGTGTGAAGAGGGGGGGGGAGAGGGTTGGAAAAGAAGGGTTGGGGGAGGGGGAAGTTGTCATGCGCCCACTAGAGTGAGCCCTTTTTTGAGGCGCCTCAAATGATTTTTGAGACGAATTCCAAAAAGCGAAAGACCGCACCGAGGCGAGGCTATCGGCTGGAGGCGTCGCAGGAGCCCGGAAACTCTGGAAGAAGGCTCATTCCCTGTTTGCGACGCTCGACAGCCGTTCTCAGATGGAGGCCGTTCTCGACGTTCATGAAGCTGCTGCGAAGCCGTTATTTGGTGCCGGTCACTGCAAGGTGGACTGGTAATAGGGAACGCCTAGAACGTGGTACCAGTCCACCTCGCCGTGACGGGCACCGAATAACGGCTTCGCAGCAACTTCGTGAACGTCGAGAACAATTTCCATCTGAGGAAGGCCGTCGAGCGTCGCAAAATGGGAACGAGCTTTCTTACAGAGTTTCCGGGCTCCTGCGACGCCTCCAGCCGATAGCCTCGCCTCGGCGCGGTCTTTCGCCTTTTGGGCTTCATCTTTGTTCTTCATGGCCGCCTGTGCTTGCTAACGAGACTGGGTGACTGAATGCAAGCTTAGGGCGACGTCAGGTTGTACAACTTTTGTACGCTCGCTACGGTCAACTTCGTTTCGTCACGGTGCAAAACGGTAAACGCTGAAAACCGCTTTTCGCTGTGTGGAACTGCCCTGAGCCACGACCCAACCAGGTGCTGCTTCGCACTTTGCTGCCAAAGCCGTTCGCCAGGGTCCGTTGGGGGGGAAAGGGCGAGGGGTGGGACAGGAGAGATAACGAAACCTTCGAGGAATGCGCTGGGCTCGCCCTCTGCTCGCGTAATACCTGCGGGGAAGGGGCTGGAGCGAGGAGGAATTTCTTGGGGGGGTTGACTGTGGCGGGAATTAGTGGCGTGGTGGTGAGGGGAAAAAGCCTGGCAAGGGGGGTGCACGTGGACAGCTGGAAGTGGTGCGATTTTCTAGGTAAGACAGGTGGCAGCTGCAGATTGCATTTCTTAGGCGAGATAGAGTTTTCTTCAACCTCCCTCTTGGTGTCCCCTCCTGTGCCTCCCTCTCTCGTACGCTCCCCCAGCCAGTTCCCGGACATATACGACCAAGTAATAGCGTTCGAGCACTGCATGATGCTGGGGCGGAGGTTTGGCGACAGGTGGCAGCTGCAGATAGACAGTGACGAGTTCATCTGGTACCACCCCCAGGCAGGGGGGTTCTTGAAGCCGCTGCTAGCCAGGATAGAGGTCAACCACGCCAATGCTCCAGGCAGCAAGGAGCCTCTCCGGGTGAGTTGGTTCTGCTGAAAGCTGCCTGCATTGCATGCCCTGTGATATTCTCCCATTCACATGGCACCCGCCCAAGGCTTGGGGGTTCCTGAAGCCGCTGCTAGCCAGGATAGAGGTCAACCACGCCAAGGCACCAGGCAGCAAGCAGCCTCTCCGGGTGAGTCACCAGGCAGGCAGCTTTCAACAGGTGGCAGCTGCAGATTGTGAGTCGACTTGAATGGCACCAGGCAGGCAGCAGTACACAGGTGGCAGCTGCAGATAGATAGTGACGAGTTCATCTGGTATCACCCCCAGGCTGGGGGGTTCTTGAAGCCGCTGTTAGCTATGTGACGGAAGACGCAAGACGCGTCTTGCGTCTAGCGTCTAGACGCAGCGTCTAGACGCTAGACGCTAGACGCACGTTTAGACGCTAGACGCATGGGGGAATTTTTTTCGGTCAGCCCGAAAAAAAATCGCGCGCGCGAATTTCAACCCCTCCCACCCATTTCGACCTTGATAACATCCCCCAAACCTAGCTGTTAGCCCCACCCCCCATAATAGTATCAGCAGCTAGGACTAAAGTGCTGCACGCCTCTGCTCTACAATGAGCCGGCCAATTAAAGACGTTTTAGAAGAAGCATCGGAGGAGGTGTGAGAGAAATTGAGAAACGGAAAGCTAAGTCGAAATTGGAATTTGTCCCCCGCAGCCAACAGATTTGTGAACCATTTCGTGACCAACCAGTTCCCCCTCCCATTACCGATCTTCACCGCACTGAATCTAGAAAACCCAACCAATTTGAGATATGAGATTGTGAGCGTCAATGTTTATAGATCTATAAGTTCTAGATCTCGATGAATGTCCCAGCAGACTAATTCGTCTGCTATACCAAGAGGTCGTCTTCATCCCATTCACCCTCCCCCTCCCCATGGCCTAGAAAAGATTTTTTAGGCTGCCCATACTATTTTTTTGGCCTGCCCGGGGTTTCGTCTAATATGCGTCTAACCTAGGCGGAAACGCGTCTAGCGTCTTAGACGCTGCGTCTAGACGCAACCGTCTAAGACGCTAGACGCGTCTTCCGTCACATAGGCTGTTAGCCAGGATAGAGGTCAACCACGCACGAGCACCAGGCAGCAGGCAGCCTCTCCGGATGAGATACAATTTTATGTGAGTCAACTCACGAGTCACCAGGCAGGGAGCAGTACACAGGTGGCAGCTGCAGATAGATAGTGACGAGTTCATCTGGTACCACCCGCAGGCCGGGGGTTTCCTCAAGCCGCTGCTAGCCAGGATAGAGGTCAACCACGCCAAGGCACCAGGCTGCAAGCAACCACTCCGTGTGAGTTGGCTCTGTTGAGAAACTGCGTGCCTTGTGGCGCTCTTGCCCCCATTTCTGCATTTTTTAGGCACCTGAAAGGAAAGCATGCGCATGCGTATCGCTGTTTGCTTCTCATCCACAAACCTCCCTCTTTCTCGCCCCATCCTTGTGCGTGTGGCAGGCGATTCTGATGAGGAGGTTCAACGTCTGGGGAGTGAAGGAGGAGTCACGAGGGGATCCGGTATCTGTCAGGCTGCAGTGGCGGTGCAACCTCTGCTCTCCAAACTCACTCACAGGCCGATTGCTTGGGCCCCATCTTTGTGTTGTGTGCGTGTGGCAGGCGATTCTGATGAGGCGGTTCAACTTCTGGGGAGTGAAGAAGGAGTCACGTGGTGATCTGGTGTCTGACAGGCTGCAGTGGCGATGCAGTGAGCCCATGTGGCACACCAAGACGTGGGTCGGCTGGCACGACAAGGTGGCTGTTAATCCCCAGACGATTCTTCCATAGTAAGTGGGCTGTTGGTTGGCATTTGAGAATTCTCAAAAACCAGCTGTTGGTTGGCATGTTACCACGGGCGAGTGAGTGCCGTGCCATGCCGTGCCGTGCCGTCAACCCACAGATCATCCTCCCCTAGTAAGTTGGCATGCGCATGGGATGTGATGTGAATGGGATGATGTTTGCGTGCTTCAGGTGTTAGATTCCGGCTGGATTGACAGAGCTCACACTGGTACGCCCGTGACAAATATTTAAATATTTTTCCACCCAGACAAACTACTTCGTCCTGTCCTGCTAGCCTTGTCGGCTCAGTTCGAGACGGTACGTCACTCGTCAGTTCCACTCCTGCTCGGTCCACAATCCTGTCATTTCCTCAATCTCCGTAGAGTGAAAAGCAACAGTTCCACTAGTGGTCCCCTGCTCTTATGCCAGCGGCCCTCAAGTTTTTTTTTTCCATTCGAAAACAGTTCCGCCAGAGGCTCTCTGTTCCGGCCTTTACCTATACACCCTGCCTTCCTCTTGCGCCCATTTCTTTCGTCCTCCTCCCTCCCCCAACCAGCTCTATATCCATCCACGACACGTTCGCCCCTGCAGAGGAGATGGCGAAATCGCTTTTGAGAGTTCTCAAAAGCGATTTCAACATTGCAGAGCAGATGGTAACAGCGCCACCAGTCAACCAATAATCATCTCTGCCTTCCTCCCTGTCCCTCACTTACCCCCCTCCCCCTCCCAACAGCTCTATATCCATCCACAACACGTTCGCCCCTCCAGAGGAGATGGCAACATATTAGTGTGACTTTTGAGAATTCTCAAAAGTCGCACTAATACACCCCCCAGCATCCTGCACCTGAACCACTACACGTCGCGGGAGGTGGATCTCAAATAGCCGCCCTGCAACGCCACAGTCAAGCCCATCGAAGACAGCAGCTTCTTGTTCCCCGTTCCCCTCCCCCCCCGCTCTCTCCCCCTCCCTTTCCCTCCTCTCCCCTCCCCTTCCCTCCCCTCCCCCCCCCCCAATCAGCTCTATATCCATCCACAACACGTTCTCCCCACCAGAAGAAATGGCAACAGCGCCACCAGAAATTCTCCACCTGAACCACTACACGTCGCGGGAGGTGGATCTCAAAGAGCCGCCCTGCAACGCCACAGTCAAGCCTATTGAAGACCCCAGCCTCTTCTGGGCCCGCAACCGCACAATGGAGTGCAAAGCGGTGCGGTGCGGTGGGAGTGTTGACACCCCGGTGGAGTGCTGGCCCTTCTGCCAGTTGCCATGGGCGGGTCAGGACAAGAATAGGTAGCACTCTCGAGGTCAGGACAAGAATAGGTAGCACTCTTAATCGGGGTCAGGGCAGGACAGGAATAGGTACAGTAACACTCCTGGAGAGCAAAACACCACGGTGAGGCCAATAGAGCAACAAGGCACGGTGAGAATCCTCAAGAGCACTTTTGGGCTCAGGAGAGGGCAGGAATAAAACGCCATGGTGAAGCCAATAGAGAAGCAAGCCTCTTCAGGGCTCACAATTCCACCATGGATAGAGGGCAAGGCAACGCATTGTGGCGGCGGCGGTGCTACACGGCGGGGTAAGAAGAGAAAATGTCATGCAAGCCACACGTAAGGCAAGCCTATATCAATTGCTACTGCTTGATGTGTGGATGATGGAGAGAGATCCATGGGCCACGGGAACAAGCAACTGTGCCAGGTCGGGTAAATGCACTGGGTAACAACATGCCCTTGCCCTTGTGCTATCTAGTGGTGTATGGTGATCTCAACTCCCTGCATTCAAGGCGGAGTAGCCTTGCCGCCAACGGTTATTTCTTCCGATTTTCCCTGGTATTTCATTTATCGAATCTCACGATAGCCTTAGCCATGGCGTGCTCTTCCCTTGACCCTCGACAGACTGCCCGAAATCAGTTCTATGATGTCCGCCCCGGATATAAGCGCAGGCCTATTATAAGCGCATGCGCTTGTATCTGGAGCAATGCGCTTATGGCCGATCCTCATTTATAAGCGCACCCCCTGTAAAACCTTGATTTATTATAAGCGCACGTATAATTCTAAAATTTAAACCAGATTAAAACGGTAGCGATTTCAAATTTTGCAGTGAGGATAGAACTATTTTCGCTTCGATTGACTTTCGAGGACCTCACATACTGCACGTCCAGTCAGTATGAGCTGGCATTTCTGATAGTGACGTGTAAATTTTCCCTTGTGCGCCGGCAGAAAATCGCTCACGCGCGAATCTGAATTGCGACTCGCTACCACTTCGATTCGATTGAAATCACAAGAAGGAGATGTACAGTTTGGTGCCAATGAATTATAAATTTGCATTTGTTATTATATAAGCGCATGCGCTTATAAATCTGACTCAATTATAAGCGCACCCCCCCAAAAAACACTGTTTTATTATAAGCGCAGGTGCGCTTATATCCGGGGTATTACGGTAGTATGCGGGATCACAATGCCAGAAATCAAATAGAGATATGTGTAGTATTCTTTTATTCAGTTCGAGATGTGCAGCCGAATGACTTGCATCTGTTTTAAACGAGTTTGTGGATTTGGAAAACTGATTGCGTGCGCGCACGCTGCCAGTACAGTACCAGCCAGTTGATGTAAGTCAGCATCACTGTAGCCATGACTTGGGTTGGACTTTTGCAAGAGCCCGAAATCGCCCAGACTCCCTTCGCCAGCAGAAAGAAAAACTGGACACGTCTGGAATCGAAGGGCTGGACACGTCTGGGCTGGAGTCTGCTGGACCCCGAACCGAACCGACGCGACTGGAACGAACTTGTCCTGTCCATTTTCTTCCCGCGCGGTTTACTCCAGCGAAGGTTGACAGTCACGTACAAATGATGCTCGTTTGAATAACCCAAGGTTGGCTTCTGAAGAGGGCTTTTAAGTGATTTTCATCTTTTCGTGAATTTCGTCAACGTCGCATCTAGCAAAAAAGGGCTAATAAAGAAATTGTAACTTTTTGTTGACTATTTGACTTCGGTTTCTTCATTTTGACTTTGGTTTCTGTGGTTAATATTGGTTCATAGTCAGTGCAACTTTCTCAGGGTGCTTCTAACATGGGTGCAACTGGCTGGCGCAAAATACACGGGTGCGGACTTTCTGGCACATGCAGGGATAATTCGCGCGCAGCAGTTGAGCAACATGTGTAAATGCTCGCGCAGGAAAGAGAATGACAGAAACAATAGATTTTTTTTTTTTTTGCATTTCGTACTACACCCTGTTTCGCGCTACACTGTTATTGGCTATACTAGGTGATCGGATATACACACGTCAATGCGTCCAGGATGGTCCCAGACCATACCATATAAACACGTATGCCCGCACGAAACCGTACGCCTAAGCAAATTTCCTTTTGGAAACCGTTGTGTACCGTTCACCAGGAGAGCATTTGCCCGTCACCAACCTGCAGTTCTGTTGTAAGCACCAGGCCGCTATGTTCCAAGCAGCAGTACGCACTGTAGCCAATGAATCCCATTGCCAGTGTAGCGAGAAAGAGGGTGTACAAGATAGCCCAATGTGGCATGCGGCTCACAACCCTGGCCGGTTTCAACAAATGGACTTATGGGTCCCGAAAGCACCCTCAGCGTTTTTTTGTTTGATACAAGACATCAGACACCCTGAGTTGTGGAGGTACAGTAAATGTCTGCTGCCGAACGGAGATTTTGCAGCTACACGTATCGAGATTGTACAATTGTACCATGAAAAAAAGCATGTCGAATCCTGGCTCCGCGGAGGGTAAGCACGAGCGGGATCATAGGACGTGGGCCCGATCGACTTTGATAGGCACGATCAGAGGCGATCAAAAACTTCGAAGAAGGCGGGAAGCAGATTTCAGGCAATCGGGGGCAATCAGCTGATCGCGCCAACTCAATCAACCGCCTCAAACAGCCCGATCAGACATAATCAGCCCCAATCACTTGATTGCATGTGATCGGCGATCTGGGCGATGTACGCGAAATGTAACACGCCTCGCCATGAGGTCTCAAAAATCCTTGCGAATACACCCAGATCGGCGAGAACTGTATGCCATAGCCATCGGCGAGATTCGTCCGTCTCGCCAAAGTTGGGATGCAACTACCAGGTAATGGGCCAACAATTATCACGCAAGAGCGCGAAGCATTCGAGGAAAATTTTCTCTGATCGGGCGGCGCGAGAAATACGATCACGAGCAATCCGATCCGACCCGATCCGATCTGATTAGAGCCGATCAAAGTCGATTGGGCCCACGTCCTTAGCACTCCGATCCGCGCAATCCAGCAGGCGATGCTTACATAACGCAAATTCCCAAACACCCCCACCGCTTGCTTCTAACATTGAGATGAGCGCAGAATAAAACAAGCACTACAAACCACAGTCTACTTCAAGGAAGCGAGTACCTATGTACAGGATATGGAATTAAATATTGGAAAACATTTCATCCTATGTCGGTAATCAGGTGTAAGGTCAAGCGCTCCGAACGTGCCATTGTGTGTGTGGCTTGGTGGTTTGGTTGGTGGTGGTGTGGCGTGGCTTGGTGACAAAACAAACCTGGCTCCCAACCAAAACAAACTAAGGCCTGCATGGACACACAACACAAATCAAATGTGTCGCCCAAGGCCTGGCTGCTAGGCCTGCGGCCCAAAGAATTGCAATTTCTCGCACTAAGACGAGTTCCCTACTTGAAGTTCAAACCAAAACACCACTAGAACGCCGAAAGTAGCCATGGTGTCGAGCGTTACTAGTTCGCCGCAGCCGCAAGCAGCAGCGTCCACAGCGAGCCAGTGCCCTTATATCGCGCTCGCCGCTGCCACCTCCGCCTTGCTCGCCTTCTGGGTCGCGTTTCAACTCGGTGGCGGCTCGACCGGCCTGCCTGGCGAGTTCCGCGCCGCGGGAACTCCAGTCGACGCCTTTAATCATGCGATGCGCACACCTTTTAAAGAGTCGCGGAAATATGGTAAAAATCGAAGCGCGGTGGATGGAAACGAGCGTGAGATCGATGACGCTGACCTTGCCACATCATCAAATCGGTCGTTATCTGCCCGCGGCGCGAAGATCCGGCTGTGCACGGGCAGCCCGACCGCGCCATTCGCGCAGGGAACATTCGTTACGAAGCCAATCATCATTAAAAAAAACAAAGGCGCAACGGCGAGCAACCGATACGCGCAGCTCACCGTGTTCGAAGCAGAGGCTCGGCACGCCGAACCTCTCGTGAAAGAAGACTCGGGAAAGCCGCAGCGGCAAGCCAGGAGCAGCCAGAGGAAAGGGGTGCCACAGGGATGACGAATCTATCTTAAAAACGCAGTGGAAAGGGTGGGGAGAGGCAGAGCTCAGCGAGCTTTTCGGCAAGGGAGAGCTTAAGCTCAAATGCCACATATGGCCTGGTCACGACCCATATATTCAAGCGTTCGAGCCTGCTTATATCGTGGATGTGGTGCCAGTTTGGAACATGTACTCTTGGCACTTGATATTAGAATGCCTGATTCCATCATACACCTCCGTCACTGAAAATGATAGTACTACTAGCATTGCCTTGAACGATCGGCTTGCAGGTGATGACTCAGAGGTTGCCGATGTGGCTCATGCCGCTCCCTCCCCTCTTTCAGGCGCCTCTCCAACCGCCTCCCCTTCTCTCCCTGTGGACTTAACTACATCCTCTGTGATCGGTCACGAGCGGTTGAGAACGGTGGAGGGGAGGCAATGGGCGGTGCATCACTGGCAGCAGGTGCAGGTGCAGCTGGTGGCGGCAGAGGCCGGGGCGGAACTGCGCATGCCACCGCTGCTGCTGTGCCGCGCCGACAGCGACAAACACACCCTCGCCTCCTCCCCGCACTCGCTCTCCCTCTCCACCAGCAACACTGCTGCTGCTGATGCTGATGCTGTTGCTGCCCAGCCCCTTTCTGTCTCCTCCCCACCGTCCTTTCCCTTCGCTGCAGTGGAGAGTGAACTGGTTTCTGCCGCTGCCGCCGCCGGGGGTGCAGGGGCTGCTGGGGAGCCTGGGGGGGAGACTGCTGGGGTTGGTGCTGCCCCTGGTGCTGCTGGGGGTTCGGAAGGAGCTGGAGGCCCAGGTGGTGAGTCAAAACTGGCAATGTTCCTGAAGGGAAGAGAGGGAGGGGAGGAGGGGAGGAAAAGAGAGATGCGTATTAGCGCTGAGAAACTGGGAAGTTCAGGGGAGGTGCTAGTGAACTATGCAGATGAAGCAGATGCAGATGAAGGAGGTGAATATGAAGAGGAGAGTGACAATGTGAGCTCGGAGGGATCTAGAAAAGGCGATGTCGTGGCTAATTACTCAAAATCAGTTACCGCAGCAGCAGCACCAGCTGGAGCAGCAACGCCATCATCAGCAGCAGCACCAGCAGCAGCAGCAACAGCAGCAGCAGAACGAGCAGGAGCAGCAGCTGAAACGGCAGGCAAATTCACCGGCGCAAATCAGAGGCGGGGACGGCGTAAACCAAAGAGCATGGGAGCAGTGACCATCTGCCTGCGCCCCTTCCACACGAATCAAATGTTCTCTGACAACATCGCTGTATCCGATGAGCGATTACTCGAGTGGATCGATGCATCTCTACTGATGGGTGTCGACCGCATCTATGTGTACGACCGCTACGCCACAGCCAAGCGCGACCTGCTGCTGCCATACATGGCCCGGGGGCAGGTGGTGCACGTGCCGTTCCCCCCCTGGTCAGAGGTGTTCTATCGCCAGGAGCAGTTTGCTGGGAAGGGCAACAATCCGTATGCGGTGAGCAGCATTTTTCTCTCGTCTTTGTGAAAGACAGCTCGTGATACTGCCGCCCTTGTTTGTTACCAGTGACTGTGTAGTGATCCGCGTGTGGTGAGTGCCTTGTTTCGCGTGTGTGGGATGAGTGATGGCTGGAATGAATCAGCACATCGCTGTCCCTGTGAGTGCGTAGGCTGTGGCCTCTACGCAAAGAGCATGGTCTCATTGCATGGGGACAACCGATTCTAAGTGTATGACCACCTCTACACCACACACATGTGAGCCCTGCTCGTTGTCTGCTGAGTTGTAACCAGTTTCTCCCCTACACCTCCTCCTCCCCCCCTCCCCACAAACGAAAAACATGCACACACACACACTCACACTCACACACACACTCACTCACTCACACACACACACACACACACACCCACGCACGCATGCATGCACGCACGCACGCACGCACACACACACACACACACCCACGCACGCATGCATGCACGCACGCACGCACGCACGCACGCACACACACACACACACACACACACACACACACACACACACACACACACACACACACACACACACACACACACACACACACACACACACACCACCTGCTCCCCACCCTCGCCCCCCCCCTCCAGTTCCCTGACATATACGACCAGATTATATCCTATGAGCACTGCATGATGCTGGGGCGGAGGTTCGGTGACAGGTAGCAGCTGCAGATAGACAGTGACGAGTTCATCTGGTACCCGCTTCAAGCTGGGGCGTTCCTGAAGCCGCTTCTAGCGAGGATAGAGCTCAACCACTTGCAAAACAGCACGGAACCGCTACGGGTGGGTTTTGAGAATTCTCATTAGTGATAACAACAGGGTAACATGGATGGGAAAAAAAAAAAAAAAAAAAAAAACAGTAAGGCGGGCCCAACTTGATGTGACTGTACCGAAGGGAAACAGGACACAAGAAAGAGGAGATTTTTATGGCATCGAGTGATGAATTTGGTAACTAGCACCACCAGAGGAGGCCAGAGCTCTAAAGGGTGGTTCTGGAAACAGCTACCACCGTGAGAAGGCACCATTTACCCACGGTACCTCATCCCTTTCCTCTCTCCATTTCCCCACAACGACCATTAAGCAATACCCCATCCCTTCCCTCTTTCCATTTCCCCACAGCAGGCCATTCAGTTGCGGCGGTTCAACGTCTGGGGAGAAACCAAGGAGGCTCGCGGGGAGTGTGTGACAGACCGCCTCATGTGGCGCAGCAAATTGCCAGCGTTTGATAAGGGCATGCACAGATATCATGACAAAGTGGCCGTTAATCCTCAGACGATCCTCCCCTAGTGAGTGACGTCAACCCACCAGCGATCCTCCCCTAGTGAGTGACGTCAACCCACCAATGATCCTCCCGTAGTGAGTGACGTCAACCCACACACACACCACTCACCCCTAGTGAGTCCCAGGGGGAGTGTGTGACAGACCACCTCATGTGGCGCAGCAGCTCGCCGGCGTTTGATCACGGCATGCACAGATACCATGACAAAGTGGCTGTCAACCCTCACACAATCCTTCCCTAGTGAGTGCCGTCAACCCACACACCATTCGATCAAAGTGATGGTTTGAGACGTCTCAAATTGCCGGCATTTGATCACGGCATGCACAGATACCATGACAAAGTGGCTGTCAACCCTCACACAATCCTTCCCTAGTGAGTGCCGTCAACCCACACACCATTCGATCAAAGTGATGGTTTGAGACGTCTCAAATTGCCGGCATTTGATCACGGCATGCACAGATACCATGACAAAGTGGCTGTCAACCCTCACACAATCCTTCCCTAGTGAGTGCCGTCAACCCACACACCATTCGATCAAAGTGATGGTTTGAGACGTCTCAAATTGCCGGCATTTGATCACGGCATGCACAGATACCATGACAAAGTGGCTGTCAACCCTCACACAATCCTTCCCTAGTGAGTGCCGTCAACCCACACACCATTCGATCAAAGTGATGGTTTGAGACGTCTCAAATTGCCGGCATTTGATCACGGCATGCACAGATACCATGACAAAGTGGCTGTCAACCCTCACACAATCCTTCCCTAGTGAGTGCCGTCAACCCACACACCATTCGATCAAAGTGATGGTTTGAGACGTCTCAAATTGCCGGCATTTGATCACGGCATGCACAGATACCATGACAAAGTGGCCGTCAACCCACAGACGATCCTTCCCTAGTGGGTGTAGGGTTAGGGTTTAGGAACGTCAACCCACACCCCGTTCTCCCCTAGTGACTGCTGTCAACCCACACACCAAACTTCCCTAGTGACTGCTTATCAGCACAATCACTCCCCTCTCTTTCTCCATGATTATTTCTCTCCTGCCTTCCTTCCTTGTCATAGAGTCACCATAGGTGTCACAACATCACCTGATTTTTACAACACGCTGCCTACTCCCCCCCCACATGCCGCCCCATATATGTGTCGTCCCTCTCTGTCTCCATGATTATTTCTCTCCTGCCTTCCTTCCTTGTCATGGAGTCACCAGAGGTGTCACAGCACCATCTGATTGTTACAACACGCTGCCTACTCCCCCCCCACATATTTGAGGCGCCTCAAAAACCACCAGAGGTGTCTTGGCCCCACCTTATTGTTACAACATGCCTTGAGACGTCTCAAGATTTTGAGACGTGTCAAAACCAGAGGTGTCACAGCACCATCTGATTGTTACAATGGGCTGCTTACGAGGTGACTTTTGAGTCGACTCAAAAGTCGATTGTTACAACACGCTGCTTACGAGGTGAATTTTGAGTCGACTCAAAAGTCAATTGTTACAACACGCTGCTTACGAGGTGACTTTTGAGTCGACTCAGAAGTCGATTGTTACAACACGCTGCTTACAAGGTGACTTTTGAGTCGACTCAAAAGTCGATTGTTACAGCACGCTGCTTACGAGGTGACTTTTGAGTCGACTCAGAAGTCGATTGTTACAGCACGCTGCTTACGAGGTGACTTTCGAGTCGACTCAAAAGTCGATTGTTACAACACGCTGCTTACGAGGTGACTTTCGAGTCGACTCAAAAGTCGATTGTTACAACACGCTGCTTACGAGGTGACTTTCGAGTCGACTCAAAAGTCAATTGTTACAACACGCTGCTTACGAGGTGACTTTTGAGTCGACTCAAAAGTTGATTGTTACAACACGTTGCTTACGAGGTGACTTTTGAGTCGACTCAAAAGTCGATTGTTACAACACGCTGCTTACGAGGTGACTTTTGAGTCGACTCAAAAGTCGATTGTTACAACACGCTGCTTACGAGGTGACTTTTGAGTCGACTCAAAAGTCGATTGTTACAACACGCTGCTTACGAGGTGACTTTTGAGTCTACTCAAAAGTCGATTGTTACAACACGCTGCTTACGAGGTGACTTTTGAGTCTACTCAAAAGTCGATTGTTACAACATGCTGCTTACGAGGTGACTTTTGAGTCGATTCAAAAGTCGATTGTTACAACACGCTGCCTACGAGGTGACTTTTGAGTCGACTCAAAAGTCGATTGTTACAACACGCTGCTTACTTCCCCCCCACATTCCGGCCCTCTTTCGTGCCGCCCCTCCCACATCCCGCCTCTCTCCTCCCATACAGCACGGTGGGCATCCATAGCACCACAGCTCCAGAAAACTCTACAGTGGTAGCGCCACCGGAGGTGCTGCGGCTGAACCACTACACGGCTGGGCAGATCGACCTGCACTTGGCACTCAGCAACGAATTCATGAGTGTTGTGGCGGACTAGGGGCTCTTCTGGTCACCACCATCGCGTATCGCCCACTTCGTTTCTCACCTCCTCTCCCACATGCCGTCCCTCCCACATGCCGTCCCTCTCCTCCCATACAGAACGGTGGGAATCCATTCCACCACAGCTCCAGAAAACTCCACAGCAGTAGCGCCACCGGAGGTGCTGCGGCTGAACCACTACACGGCAGGGCAGATCGACCTGCACTTGGCACTCAGCAACGACTCCATGAGTGTTTTGGCGGACTAGGGGCTCTTCTGGTCACCGCAGCCCGTATCACCCACGTCGTTTCTCACCTATCTCGCTTTCCGCCCCTCCCACATCCCACCCCTCCCACATTCCGCCCCTCTCTCATCCTGCCCCTCTCCTCACATGCAGCACGGTAGGGATCCATGCTACCACGGCTCCACAAAACTCTACAGCGGTAGCGCCACCGGAGGTGCTGCGGCTGAACCACTACACGGCAGGGCAGATCGACCTGCACTTCGCACTGAGCATCGACTCAAAGAGTGTTGTTGAAGACCAGGGGCTCTTCTGGTCGCGCAACCGCACGCGGGGCTGCCGGGCACTGCCTTGTGGTGCGAGGGATAGCCCAAAGACCCCCGTGGAGTGCTGGCCCTTCTGCCAGCCGCCTTGGGACGGGCACGAGTAGGAGCGTGGGAGGGCCTCTGTTTCTTCATTGCTACGGCAGCTTCTCGTGGGTCAATCTCCTGTTGAACAATTTTGTATCGCTCCCCCTTTCCACCCTCTTCCCTCAACCCCTCTGTAACACCTAGTACAAATTATATTTATTCTCCATGCGATGAGGTGAGCAGAGCTCACCTATTTCTTGTGATCAGTTTCTACACTCTAAAGGCATGTGGGGTTGCTGCTTTTACCATGTGGGGTTGTGCAAGTCAGTACATTACCGTAAAAGGATTGCATACAACAATGGAGGTCTCTAATTTGAACGTGACTAATACCCGTATGCATACAGCATCCAAGGGAGTGGGAAACAATGACGCAGAATCGAAATTGTCAGGCACCGAGGGGTGGGAATATTCCCTTAAAAATTAGTTATTTACGCTGATTTGTATGTTCAAGTGCCTTAATGGACTGAGCATGGGCTACAGCATTTCTTGTATGTATAATGTATGTGCACCGTGATTTAATCTATTAGTTTCTCTCAGGGTCTCTTATTAGAATACAATGGGCTCGCAGGACGAACCCTAAAACAAAAGTGCCTCTCGATTCTCAGCTTCACTTGCCTATCAAGTCTCTC